GATCTGGACGCTTGTTATCTTTAAAATTATGCCTAAACAAGAATGTGTAAATGGTATCGTTAGACTCATACTGGACCTCTGTTCTTGTTTTACTAGATTTTCCAAAAATCAGACATGAGTCATGTTAGATATAGGCCTATCATTCTCATTATTTGTTATATAGTTAACACTCAGGAAGTAGGTTAGCTTTAGCAATCAAGATAGGACATTTTTTTTTGCAAACAGAGACATTAATAGTCAAAACATAGGGTGGGTCTCCTCTCCACTAGATCAGATAATGCAGCAATGCAGATGAGCAGCAGTCTATAAAAGTAGCTGTGCAGGGCTCTCATACAAACTGAAAGCTAAAAGAGAGTTGAGACACACTTGGGCTGCCTTCAATTCTGGATAATGGCCTTTAGCAGAGAGAGAAAAGGTAAGACAATCTATGACATAACAAACCATGTTTTGTTCTGCAAATTTTGACCATTACTAGAGATGAAAAGTTTGATTTTAAATGTAAATAGACATGAATTAAATAATTTGTTGTGTTCTTATCTATCCTTTTAAGTTAAACATAGCCTAATGTATCTGCCACACCCCCCCTGTATTTAAGAATTCACAAAATCGTATTGCTATAAACCTAGGCATCAGCACAGTGCCTACTACAAGTTTTCTAAAGTTCCCAGTGTGGACAACAGCCCAGATTTGAGCTCTGCTATTAGGGACTGAAATGTGGCAGACGAGACAACATAAACTACGGAGGCTTGTGTTTAATTTTACATTAAATGCCATGTCGTGAGTTTATTTTAGTGGTCTAAATTCTTTCGCATATTAAATAGCAGCTTGCAGCTTTCTCTCCATAGCGCCATCATTATTACCATAGCAACAGAGAGATAATAAATCTCTCGGACATTACATGTAACATCTCTCGGTCGCCCGAGTCGGTGTTACATTCGGACCGGTTACTTCAAGGGCGGCATTTCCGTATGGCAGAGTATGCCAGTCGCCATACCCTAGCCCAGTCAGGTGTGCCGTGGAAAATCCAAACTCTCTATTATATTTCGTTATTATTGTTTTAAATCACTGCTATTGGCCTTCCTTATGTCTGTTTGAGGGTTTTACACATATTTAACCAATGAAAAGCATTCAAAAGAGCTTGTCACTAAACTTTTTAACGCTATGGATCCTCAAACTGTCAGCAAAACCTCTTAACTTCACCCTGCTTCCATTCAGAACAAAGCGCCGCGTGTGCGACTGTAGGTTATTTAGAGTTGGTGCGCAGCATGCCAGACTTAGCACTTTTTTGTTGCGGCCGCCATCTTTAGGACCTTGCGTAGCCTCTCCTTGGTAATCGGAAACCAAAATAACACTTCACCAACAACGGAAAACAATGGTATTTAAAAAAAATTGATACTTTAGGATTAGATCCTTATTTACTGTCAAGCGAACTGCTGACTCCACTAAAGTCTAGTGAAAACTTACCAACTTGACGTTTGCTGAAAGGCTGTTTACATCTACCTCATACACAATCCCTCTCTGTACACTCGGGCCATTTTCAGTTAAATTTTCACCTGCTAGAGACTTGTCAATCGGCCCAGATCCATCTGCCTGGATGCCTGTGTACTCACTTTCAGATTATGGGCCGGATCAACCGGACCAGATGCGACAGCCGTAACTTGCCGACACTGACGCAT